CCCCCCCCCCCCCGGGACACCCCATAACCCCATCAAACCAACGACCCCTGGGGGAATCTTTGCTTAAATGGTCCAATATACAAACCAGCTCGGTTTAGGCACCAGGTTTTTGGGTTGACCTGCCGGCCTATTAACGCCCGTTATAACCCGTCCAATTAGTTTAGACTACATTATCCAACCCAAAAAAATCAGAATTAATAAAACAAAAATCCAATCCTCAAAATTATGGACAAATTTGACAGATTAATGGGTAATTGATAAATATTGTCATTCCTAGTTGTTTATGGATTCAAGGTGGAATAAATTTATACAGCACATATGCACTTTGCTATTCATTTGAATTTGGACTCTTTGACTTCTTGTGGCTCTTCACTTGTATTGAGCTCTTTTAACTCCTAATTAAGGCAGTAGTTCAATCAATACCAACTTACGCGATGTCATGTGTTGCCTTTCCTAAAAACTTTTGTGACAAGCTGGACTATTACGTGAGGCAATTCTGGTGGGGAGCTAAGGACTAAGAAAGAAAGATCCATTGGAAGAGTTGGGAGGAAATGACTATGGCAAAGGCAATAGGAGGCGTAGGTTTTTGTGACTTTCCAGTGTTTTAACCAAGCTCTGTTAGCCAAACAATGTTGGAGGATGGTAACAAATCCCCATTCATAGTGAGCTAGAGTTTTGAAATCTATTTACTTTCCCAACACAAACTTCAAGCTGGCCAAGCATGGGTCAAGACCCTCTTGGATTTGGACCAGTTTATTAATTGGGCGAGATGTTCTTCGCAAAGGGCTGAAATGGCAAGTGCATGATGGAGAGAGCATCAAATTCTAGGAAGACAAATGGATTCCCACAATGCCTGAATTTTCAATTGCAACACCAAAACCAGAGGGCTGCAATATTGATCTGGTCAGCAACGTTATCATTCGCAAGATTGAGACTAGATTCTCTTCATGGGCTTGTCTCACAAGAGGAACTAAAGGCAATCCTATCCATCCCTCCGGCAAGCTGAAAGGAGAAGATAGGAGAATATGGGCCCCAAATCAGAAAGGAAATTACCAGGTCAAATCAGACGATTATTTGGCAAAAAAGGGAAAGAAAAAAACCAACAAAGAAAGAGGGAAATCATCTTTCCAAGCCCATTCGAAACTATAGCAAATGATATGGAAATTGGATACAATCCCAAAAGTGAGGCTTTTCTAGTGGAGAGCCTACTCCAATGCTTTAGCAACACAAGAAAACCTATTCAAGACGAATTGTGCACCATCTCCCCTGAGTAGAATTTGCAAATTTGCAGAGGAATCTATTGAACATATGTTGTTTGGAAGCAGTTGGACCCATAAGGTATGATTTGGTGTAGACCTTGGGCTCATAGTGCAAAAGGAAATGCAAAGTTCAGTTAAATCTTGGACTTCATCCTTTTGAGTCATTGGACAATAGGAGCAGTCTACCTAGATCATTAGTAAGTAGCAACGATAGGGTGGTCATTTGAAAGATGAGAAATTAGGCCATCTTAATTCCAAAGATCCCAATCCCTAGTAATAGTAGGGTTGTTAACTTGAAATTAGGCCATCTCAAAATAAACGTCGTTCATTTGATCTGAATTATGTACAATGGCTGTTTCTCAACAATAAAAAAACATGTATCTAATGTAGACCAGAAAGGAAATGAATGCAGACCAGTAGGAAAGGAAATGAATGCAAACCAGAAAGGAAAGGAAATATTCTACACCACTAATTACGTCAACAAAATCAAACAAAATCAAAATATTATCAAACATGTATCTAATTAAATGTTCAAGATTCATCAACTACAACAAACATTCATCCACTACACCAAATTGAATGCTCAAGATTCATCAACCACACAGTACCAATCATAACATATCGACAGAAAATAAGCTAAAATTTTTCAAATTTTTCATTGAACTAAGTTAATATTCATAAAATAATTAACCAAAAACTAGCAAATCGAAGATACAATTACCAGTTCACCACCATCTGAGCGCAAAGAGACTGAGAGAGAGGTGGGTGATGAACTACCTATTAAGGGAAAGAGAAGATATTGTTTTTGTTCGACACTTCAATTGGGAGAGACAGAGAGTTGATTCGTTCGAGTTTGAGTTCGACTGAGAGGGGCTGCTCTGTTCGAGTTCGACTAAGAGAGAACTTGATTCATTCGAGTTCGACTGAGAGAGAGAGGGCTGATTCGTTTTCCGGTGCAAGAGAAAAAGAGTCTCTGAATTGAGAGAGAGGCAGAGGCTAATTGATTAGGTTAGGGCAAAAATGCCTAAAAGGACCAAAAATCTATCTTTAATAGTCTTTAAACTAACCCATCCAGGTTGTCAATAACCGTCCGGTTTAGTGGGTTTGGGCAATAACCGCCCGGTTCAATCGGTTTTGACCGAGTTTTATGCTGAAACAATTTAATATACTACCCGGCTCGGTTTGGTGACCAGTTCAGCGGTTCACCGGGTCAACCAGACGGTCCGGGTCGGATTTTAAAACACTGAGGTTCTCAGATTGTGTGATTTTCAAATGATGGTCAAATCCACATATGTTCCCGAATTGTGGAGGGAAGGGGTGGGATATGTGTTTGTGTCGATTCGATGGAGAGAGTCTGTGTGTGTGTGTGTGTGTGCGCGTGTGTGTGTGTGTGAGAGAGAGAGAGAGGGGGTAGTCGGCATATGCTCATAATCGTAGTTTTTAAATTTGGTTCGAACGTCAACCCGGTTGGGGCCTGATTAATGAGTTACTGGTTCGGGGTCACCAATCAAACAAGTCATATAATTAAAAAAATTAAAAAATTTATAAATAGACCATAGTTTTAAAACGCTACCCAGAAACCAATCTGGCAAAGAGACCAGGTCAATGGGTCACCGGTTCAACTGTTGGATTATTGGTCGAACCGGTAATATAATAAAAAATTAATCAATAATTATAAATTATAATAAACAGGTTAAAAAATTACAATAATTATAAAAATAGCATTAAATATGTAAAGTTAAGTAGAAAAAATTATCAAACATGTATCCAAAAACCCACAATTAAACCACACAGCACACCCACTTTAAACTTTAAAGTATAAACTAAGATACAAAAGGCAATAAACTCTACATCATCTCATTACACAGCAACAAAAACCACCATATATCTAGATTCAATTTCAAGTTTAAAAATTTCTAACACCAATAACATCCCAACAATATTAAAAATATAGATTCAAGCTTATAAAGCTTTTACATCAACAAATGAAATTAATAAAAAACTAATGCAATAAAGAACACTATAAATATGCTCAAGCACAACTCATAACCATAAGCAAAATAAAAAAACTTGCCCTAATCTGCTCAATTGATTAAACAATAAGCTCTTAACTACTTTTAATCACAGGTTGTATATTGTAATCGCAGATTCAATGTACAAACGTCAAATATTAAATATAATTTTTATGTTGATTAGGGCATGTACTGTGTACATGTTAGAGAGTACTCAGAGAGTCAGAGTAGAGAGAGAGACCAACATAGAGAGAGAGAGAGAGAGAGAGAGAGAGAGAGAGAGAGAGAGAGAGAGAGAAAGAGAAAGTATGGAGTGTTACCTAATCTGCTGTCAATGGTCGTCGATGTTTCGATGGGATGGAGCTTTGAAGCAGCCTTCGTCGGTTCGTCCCTTGCTTGCTCGCAGCGGCACACATAGAGAGAACTTATAGAGAGAGAGAGAGAGAGAGAGAGAGAGAGACTGGGCTGAGAAGATCGACGATCGTTGTGACAAGGCAAAAGGCACAGGCAGAGGCTCACAGTCACTGGTCTTCGCCTTTCATTCGACTTGCTAGAGATTTAAGGATTTAGGGCAAAATGCCCAAAACTCAGCATTTTATACAATATTAAATGATCCGGCCGGTTAGAAATGAATCGTCCGGGGTGGAACGGGCCAGCGGGTTTTCGCCGGTTCTGGTGCAAATACGATCTAATGAGTGGACCTGCCCGATTTAGGTAACAGTTCACCGAGTCAATCTGCCGGATCGGCCCGAGTTTTAAAGTACTAAAATAGACTAAAAAATATAATAATTGCAAACATAACATCCTTAATGTATATTAAACGCAACAAAAAAACTCCAAAATCATCAACCATGTATTTAATCCACTCAATTTTCAATACAACTTGCAAATCATAACAAGCACAAACATAAGTTTGCAAAAAAATTATGCAATAACGAATAGGAGTATAGTCAGATTCAATATACAACATAATCAAAACCATAATCAAATTCATAACTAAAATAAAAATTTATTCAAAGAGACTCAAACTAGACTAGACCAGACAAAGAAAAGGGGGGATAATCGAAAATACCTTTTACTTGCTAGTGTTTCAAACTTGAGGGGAAGGAAATAGGAGTTGTCGTTATCGATGATGGAGCTCCTATCTTGACATCAACGGTTAACTATTTCAAAGTTCAAACTTCAGCTTCTACTTCGAATTCAACCAATGTTGGCTTGCAACATTGAGAAGAAAACTCTCAGAGAGAGAGAGAGAGGTCGTCGTCGACCTCAGTCGTTCACATTTTCACGAGAGAGGAGAGCAATCATAAACGATTTAGGGCAAAAAATATTCATTTGCCCCAAGACAAATTCATTTATAGTATTGACACCAATCCCACCGGTTTGTTAAAACTCATCTGGGTTGAATGGTTCACTTAGAAATCAGACAATTGAATGGGTTTTTCCCGATTTTTACACACAAACGATCTTTTAATTGAACCGGGCCAGTTTTGGGTTAAGGTTCGCAGGGTTTTTGGGTTGATCCGTTGGGTTGGGTCGGGCCGGATTTAAAATTACTGCTCATAATAAAACATCATTTTATAACAAATATTTTTTAAAAACATCCGGGTGTTTTGCATTCATACCCAATCATTTGTAGAATATTGCAATTTGTTTCATAAACAGGTTGAAAATTTGCAAAATCCAAATAATCGAGTCGGGAAGGGTTGGAATAGTTCAGGTAGGCAAAAATTTGAGCATAACAGTATGTCAAGCATAGAGCCACTGGGGAGAATTTTATGCCTCTAGAAGGATGGAGACCCGAGTGCACCAAAACCAACCTGGAGTGACTGAGCATCCGTCAAACCGGAGGCCCCCAATTCTAGATCAATTAAAGCTGAATTGCGACAGAGCATACAACAAACTAAAGAACAAAGCAGCGTTGGGGGATATTATCAGAGATGAGAAGGGAGCTGTCATAGATGGCAAAACAAAGGATATTCAGCCAACGTCTAGCCGTTTCTCAGAGGTTGTTGCTGTGAGGGAGGCATGTCTGATGGCCTGTACTATGCAATTGAACAATGCAGGAATTGAGAGCGACAACAAAGAAGTTATTCTGCTAAGTGAAAATGAGGATGATCCACCATGGTAGATAGCAAGCAACATTTGTGGAGGACATCAGGAAATGCGCAAAAATTCTAAACCTCCAGTTCTTCCATACACCACGAGCAAACAACAAGGCATCACACTAGTTAGCTAAAGCCTGCATGTCTAAGTCTCTACCTCCAAACTTGAAAGTATGCAATCCATAGGAGTTGAAGGCTATTTTACTACTTGATTGTAATTATGGGTTTTAGAAGTTAAATGAATATTTCTTTCAAGTTCCAAAAAAAAAAAATTCTAGTAATTTTGTTTTGCAATGACAAACTATTTATCATTCTTTTATTGCCTTAAATGATGGTTATAATTATACTTCCATTATGTAGGGAAGAAAAAAAAAGATGATATAGAAAATGTAGACTATTAACGTGTCACATTTTCATTGTTTAAGATAAAATAAGCTAGAGAATGGGATATGCTCGGATATAGAAAACTAAGTAGGGATAAAATAGAAAATTTGGTAAACGTTCATACTTGAAGAACACTGTAAAGAATGCCCTTCCGCCCCTCTAACAGTCCCCTACGAAGAGGTTTAGAGATATTCAGAATAGCCCTAATTCGTAGAAAACTGCCCCACCCCACTCCTTGCCAGTGACAAAGTTTATGCTATTAAATGATAGATTATATACTTGTATCCAGAATGGGCAATAATCGAATTGAATTTTTGACATTTGTGTGTTTCTATCGTACTCCTTTAATAATAGGATATGGTTATCAAAGGACGACCATGACATTCCCTCCAACACCTTCTTTTTGTCCACCATAGTCATGAATCGAAACAAGAACATGTTACCACCCAACTCTTTGAATTCCATATTCGAAACATTCCATACCCATTTCATTGTATTCATGAGAGCCACTTTATTGAATGGCCTTTCATACTAAAGTTTTCCCAATAGAAAAAATCTTCCCTTCTTGCCTGCAACATCGTCAACGTTTTTAGCAATATCTAAGCCAACTTGCTCATCCTTTGTAAGTTTAAAGTTAAGCCAAAATTTCTCCATTTCATCTTCTATTTCATTCAAGAGACTAAACAAACAGAGACCTCTTGCTGTCTATATGCGCAGGAAATGCAAAGGATCTGACAATCTGAACTAAGACTTGCAATAGAACGAGTAATTAGAGTAGAAAAAAAGTAGAAATAACTTATGGTTAAAAGAATTCAAAAGAGAAAGAGATGGAAGTAGAAATTAAAGATATGAGATAAGTTGACTAGGAGACTGAATACTGATAGTGATTCATCACGAAACTAGGAAAGCTTCCACTAGGACAGACTCGAGAAAGACAAATACTCTGCATAGGTAGAGAGAAAAACCCTATAGCAATAGAGGACCTCAATAGTAAGAGTTCACGAGTTACATGTGTCATTCTAATTACGACACCAGAAATTAAGCTAATTAAAGATATTTCTCATGATTATCAAATGAATCAAGTGGAATTGACTTTATTCAACAAAATTATTGTAACATATTGCATGATAGAATCGATTA